ACTGGACCCTGGACACAATTTGTCTACTTACCTTGTTCTGAAAGGACATCCTCAATGCCTCACAGACGCTGCTGTTCAGTTTGGCATCTCCTCCACTAGGCCTGGACTGTGCCATCAGCACTGTCTTCCCAGTGTCCTTTAGGGTCCCTGGCACACACTAGGTGCTCCCATATGCAAACTGAGGGGAGTAGCTTGATCCCTCTGAATGAACCCAGCTAGATAGACTAAATCTGCTGCCTCTCTCCATGATCCATTTCTTTCTTGGTATATCTCAGGCTGGTGAGACACCACCCAATATCCAATCTTTCATTTCAATGGTTAAAAAAAATGCCCATTGTCTCTTCTTATTGGGAAGCTGAGCAGAAAGAAAACAGTGTCTGTTTTCAGAACTAGCCCAGGCAGCGACACTCACGGATGCCTGTCCCTGCCCATGGGTGGTGCGGTGGGGTGACTTTGCTCCCGGCTTGCCATTGGCCCATCCTCCACCCTCTGCTCTCCTGAGAATGGAGTATGGATTCTGTCTGCTAGTTACCTTTAGCCCAGTGGGCAGCAGCGTGGGCCTCACATGTGATTCATGCCCTGGGAGACCTTGGCAGGCTGGGCAAGCACCGGCTGAGCCTTTCTAACCCCTCCCCGCCCCCACCCTCACCACTCTTCTGTTTCTGCAGTGGTGTGTCACCCCACAGTCAGCTGTTGGTGGCACAGATGGTGAGTGGTTTTGCAAGTGCTGGTGCTTTCTTTCCAGAATTATGGCCTGAAGAAGTTTGCTTATCTTTCTTTGCTGTCATATTAAACCCTGAAGTTTTGTGTGAGTGTGTGTTTGTTCACCTACGCAGAGCCATTGAGGCAGACTGATTGCGGTGAGCAAATGCATTACTTTGTTCTTGTAGTGTTGGTGACTAATAAAACTGCTTGATGTTTTGCTGCTCTCTGAAAAACTAATAGTATAGATTTAAATTTAAACAGGGGATTTCTATATTTGAGAAAAGAAAATTGGCTGGGCACAATGGCTCACACTTGTAATGCCAGCAATCTGGGAGGCCAAGGTGGGTTACTTTGAGCTCAGGAGTTTGAGACCAGCCTGAGCAAGAGTGAGACCTCATCTCTAAAAAATAGGTGGACATTGTGCCGGATACCTGTAGTCTCAGTTACTTGGCAGGCTGAGGCAAGAGGTTTGCTTGTGCCCGAGAGTTGGAGTTTGCTGTGAGCTGTACCACCTTGGCACTCTACTGAGGGCAGCAAAGTGAGACTCTGTCTCTCAAAAAGAAAAATAAAAACAAAATTATTTTCAATTTTGTGACCTAGGCTTAAAAAGAATATCATAGTGAACATTCACAAATGCCATCTCAACTTATATTAAAAATATTAATACTTGTTGTATTGCCAGGGAATTTTTGAGAAAAACCTTTCAGATCATTTTACTAGTATTATTCCCTTCCCTTTACTGTCAAACTTCTGGGCAATTAATAATTTTCTAATTAGAATTATTCTTATTTATTATCTGTACTGTACATTTATTTTTTTATACTGATCTACTTATGAAATAATAGGTAAAATCTATTTGGGGCTTTGATACATACATATCAGGTTGTTTATCTAATTTTTTCTGTGTGTTTTGGCTTCTTAATTTTGTTTGCAAGCTGCAAGCAAGCATCATTTTTTTATTACCAGGGTCCCTCACTATTCTGTACTCAAGGTTAATCATGTATTATTGGCAGAGTAAAGAAATAATAAAAATATCTAACATTTTTGGAGCACTTTCTGGTGTATGGCATCAACCTAACCTTGTTATGTGAATCATTTAGCAATATTAAAAGCCTGATGAGATAGGTTCTATTCTCATCTTCATTTACAGATGAGGAAACCGACACACAGAGAGGTGAAGTAATTTGACCCAAATCATACAGTTTATAAGCTGGAGAGGCAGACTTTGGGTCTAGATGCTAATGCTATTCTTACTCTCTTTTAAGTCTCTCTCTAGACATCTGATGGTTGGTTTAAAGTTTCTGCACACCAATGTATTTAATTTGTTTCTTTTCACTATAACATCTTGGGGAATAAAAAATAAACTGATCTTATCAAAATAGCCAACATCAGGTGTCCCAGCATTTACATCACCACATTCCTGGTATGAAAAGTACAAGAAGGTGAAATTTAGATTGGTCTGTTTAACCAGTTTGGGGACTTGTCCTGAGGTCTGTTGGAAGAAGTAGAAACTGATGGCATTCAGGTGGTTTGGGCTTGTTCCTCTTCACTCGTCTCTTCATTAGCCTTGATAATGAGAGTTGAATGTATTTGATTAGGTGGAAGAGAACAGAGATGTAATACCAGAGAGGAAAATAGAAACTTATACCTACCTTTGAGCATTTGATGGGAAGGATTCTTTGTGGGTAAAATCTTTTAAATGTGGTTAATGAAAGAAGATAGTGTTTTTTTTTTTTTAAAAAACACAAGATAATGGAGAAATCAAATGAAAATTAATTCCTAAAATGTTTTTAGAAAAGTAACATTTGACAGCCAGGAATAGGCCTGGAGCATTAGACTATGGGTTTCATGCCCAGATCGGTCAGCCTCTGGGGATTCTGGAGACAAGTCCTGCCTCCCTGGAATGAACATGACATTTTTCTCTTCCGACAGAATTCAGCTTAGAAAACTACCAACACAGGACAATGCAAGCCCACGAGTTGTTCCGGTATTTTCGAATGCCAGAGCTGGTTGACTTCCGACAATACGTGCGCACCCTTCCAACCAACACGCTCATGGGCTTCGGGGCTTTTGCAGCACTCACCACTTTCTGGTACGCCACGAGACCCAAAGCCCTGAAGCCGCCATGTGACCTCTCCATGCAGTCGGTGGAAGTGGCGGTAAGTGAAAGGCCAGCCTGCCTCCTGACTTTCTCTGCACTCACCCAGGTTAGGGAAGCTCCATGGGACATAGTATTGATTAAGATCATGATCACAATGAAATATTTGGTTTGGAGTACTTTTTCTTTTCTTTTTTTTAAGATAGAGCCTCAAGCTATCTCCCTGGGTAGAGAGCTGTGGCATCACAGCTCACAGCAACTTCCAACTCCTGGGCTCAAGTAAGTCTCCTGCCTCCGCCTCCCAAGTCGCTGGGACCACAGGCACCTGCCACAACGCCTGGCTATTCTTTGGTTGCAGCTGTCATTGTTGTTTGGCGGACCTGGGCTGCATTCGAACCCACCACCTTAGGTGTATTTGGCTGGCACCTTATCCACTTGAGCCACAGGTGCTGAGCCGAGGTTTGGGGTACTTTATACACAGAAATATACTAAACAAATAACTTGATGATAGAAAGCAGAGGCTGAGGCCAAAATATGGAGCACAGGGACAGATGGGATGGTGTTGGCTGTGGTCTACCCACATTCTCACAGATCATTCCAGAAACTGCATCGAGCTTCTCCCCTATGCTGGGCTTTCTGGTGTGCTCAGGGGATTCCATGAGGGGACAAGATGACACAGAGTCCCTCTTCTCAGCAAGGTTCTATTCCAGCCGGGATGAGAGTTGTTGAACATAGCTGGAACTTAGACATATACCTTGAAAGGAACTTTGGGATTTCAAGCAGAATAAAGCTAGGTAGAAAAGGACCTTGGCAGGGTGACATGGCAGCAAAATTTGGGCAGGACACGAAGGAACAAGAAGATTTGAGAGGTGCCTCTGGTTGACTGGCTGGGCAGTGAATGGAAGCAAGTTTTGTGGTTTGTATGTACTTGTTTTTGTTTCACTTTCACAAGAGTTGTACAAGACTTCTGATTTTCACTTGTCTTAGCCTTTCTCTGAGGTTGAGAGAGTGACTGATTGGACCCCTTTTGGGGGTGGACCTTGGTGGTTTTGGTTAAGGGAAATACAAGAGCATGGTTGACAAAAGTGACCAGGGAGAGGAGAGATGGGACCTAGGTGGAACCAGCCTTCTGTGTTGAGACCAGGCAGCTGTGGGCAAGTTCACCAGGAGTTTCCGACCTTGAGATTGTCTGGAAGACAGGAGAGATGGAAGTACTTCCCTCCTTCAGCATGGCTAAGAGGACTGCATAGCTCTGTGTGTCTCCCTGACCCACTCTGAATGTTCAGGAAATGTTAGTTTTCTTCTTCCTCAAAGGTCTCCTCTTAACCCTCACATTTTATACATGAGAAAACTGGGTTCAAAGAGATGAAATCATATTATATAGTTAGTGGAAGACCCGGAACTCTGGTTTCATTTGTGGTTGAAAGTTTGTACCAGAAGGGAAGTTTAGATCTGTCCAGGGCAGTGTGAAGAGTCTGGCCAGAGTCCTTACACTCACAAGCAGGCTCTTCTTAAAAAGGACCATGGGCACAAGAGGCTGAAGATAGTGATGGAAAAGGAAGGAGCAAAAGGGAAACAGAGCCTAGATTCTGTACACAGGCTGGATGTAGAATTAGAAACTGCCAAGAATTGGGTGGGACTAAGGACAAGGGGGGAGGGGCACAGGGTTGTGGAAACACGAGCAGTTCTGTCCTTCTCGTGTCCTTTGCACTGGACCCAGTTAGCCTAGAAGGGGTCAGAGCAGAACTTGGTGCTGGTGGGGTTACAGACCTTCCTATCAAGTTGGAGCGATTTAGGCCCCAAACCATCATGAAGGACAGGTGAGAACCATGGCAGCTGCTAGAGGAGGTGGTGGAAAGAACACGTGAGCGCCACACATCATGGGGAAATGACTGGCTTGTCCAGTTAGTTGAAGAAAGATTTTTGATGACCCTAACTAGATTATGAAGTACGTAAATAAAAGCTCATGTTTTTATTGTTTATTTTTAAATATTAGAGAAGGGAGTAAATTGTAGCATGAAAAAATTTCTTTATGCCTCCAAGTCCTTAGCCTCTAAGACTCAATTTTAAGAATATCAGAAGTTAGATTAAAATTTACTTCTGGAGACTAAACCAGTTAGTCTGTCAGATTCACTGTTCAGACTTGTTACCAGACCTTGGTTCTAGCGTGGATTTTTATCTTTTCATGTGCAGAACCAGTTTCTTGGTTATAATGATCTTGTTTCCACATTGGATGACTGAATTCCACACTGCATAACCTCTAGCCTTCAGGTCCCCTGCTGCTTGGCGACTTTTTCATGTGAATGGTTGAAAATTAGACATCCTCACATTGGAACGTATGTGGTTAGTGACTTGCTTTAACACTTTAATCCTGTGCTTCAGAAAGTCTGCTGTGGAGGGTGTGATGCTTTGGGTTTAATTCTCCACGAGTCACAAAGAATAGTTATCGGGTATCTATTCATTCAACAAGGACTCAAGCTATTGCTACCTGATGTGCACGGTACCAGGGCTTCCTCATGGAGCTTACAGGGCAGTGGGAAGCAGTGCTCCGGGCTCTTCGTAGCCTTGGCAGAGGGTGAGAGCCGTCCTCAAACTATGAGTGATGCAAGTGACTTGTTTTCATGCTGTAAAACTGCAATGGTGAGTTCATTCTCAGATAAGAACTTGAAAGCAGCAAGCTAAATGTAGCCTATCCAGCCTGTGGCAGTAATGCTCCATGAACAACATAGTTTTAAGATTCAAAGTCATGGGGCAGTGCCTGTGGCTCAAAGGCGTAGGGCGCTGGCCCCATATGCCGCAGGTGTGGGTTCAAACCCAGCCCCGGCCAAAAACTGCAAAAAAAAAAAGATTCAAAGTCATGGTCTACCAGAGGCTTGTACTGGCAAATTAGACCTCCCAGCTCACATGCACTTCTCAGTAAGCATTCTTTGTCCCATTTAGAGGGTGTGTTTGGAGCGTAGTACAGAGGGATTTTTCATGTGTGGCTAGTGGCTTCCTTCATCTCCCCTTGAACACACTTCACACATATGTGCATGTAAAGGCCCACTTGCACACTGGCATAAGCAATTTTTGCAGGAGAGAAGAGTGGGCCTTTGATCCATAAGGTGCTGTGAAGACTCACACCTGGCTTGGGGAAGTAAAGCAAGTGTGCCCATCAGGGTGATCCTGGTAGACACAGAGTGGCGATGCCCTTCTACACCAGAAGGGCAGGACCTTTTGTGCGTGGCGAGCTGTTGTGTTTGGCAGGATCAAATATTGCTGTGAGACACATGTCTAGGGATAATTCTGAGTGGAAGCTGCTAGGAAGGGCAGGTAGGGAGGGTGTTGGTAACACTTGCTCTTCCTAACACCAGCCTGGTGGGTCTGCAGGAGTGTCCAGGCGACCTGTGCAAGTCAACCAGTGGGTTTGAACCAGGAGGGAGGTAGTAGGTGAACACTGAGAGAAAGGGGGAAGTGTTAGTAGCATCTGGCTGTACCTGCAGTCATTTCTGAATATGGTACAGTAGTATTGTTTCTGTAGTTCTTTGTAAATATAATTCCAATTCTCATTTCTGGGAAGCTTCGGAACAGTGTAGTTACCAGGTACGTATTCCTGGAAGTGCAGGTGAGATGTGGGGAGAATCTCCTGGTCTGATGCTTTGTCTTCCTATCTGTCAGTCATCCTCGTGGAAATCTCGACTGTTTTTAGTCGTTAACCTTAATTTACTTCCCATCTGGGATTGCAGGCGTCTAGTCACCATTCCCCGTGGGCTATCCTTCCCTGGTCTTGATTTCATAATAATCGTGCAAGTGATCAAATGAACATGTGAGCTAAGATTTGCCCTTTTCATTCTCCCCCTAGCAACTGTGCTGACATGGTGCTCGGAATTCTTGAACACACTTTTTGAAAAGTGTTCCATTATTTGATGTCATTTTCATCAAGCAGTCACGATAGTTGGGACTGTGGGGTGGGATGGAGAGGGTATGTTAGAAGGGGTGTTTTTGTTTAGAAGTGTTAACTCTGAGAGCGTGCAGACATCAGCATTTGTTACCTTTAGGTAATGTTGGCCCCTTTTCTAAAACTTTTAGTGGACTTCCTAATAACAAACTCTGAAAAACCTTGCTGAGTTACTTTTTCTTACTAAACTCACATTCTAGGGACAACTGAGTTGCTCTTCAAGCTGTAATACCTGTCACTGACTTGGAAGCACTTCCTAGGTTGCTGAATGAGATGATGACAATGTCAGCATGGTAACAGGCAACAGTTGCTGGGTCCAGGGCTCTGTAGGCCAGGGGGTGCCTGTCACAGGGAACTGAAGGCGAGTTTCTGATCTTTGTGCAGGACTAGGCCACAGAAGTATTAAATAGCTGCCTTAGGAATTCAAGGAAAGAGAGATTGATTGTTATTTTTTTAAAGAACTATCTGCTTCTGGGTGCCCTTTCCCCGGGAAGAAAAAGCCATACAGGTGTATAAGAATACAATAAAGCAGATCTGAAAACGTGATTTCATTTTGTATAATTCCACTTCCCACAGACTTCTTTAAACAAAAACCATGTGTTCACACAAATGACAGAAACACATGCTGTAATATTTATTTAAGTTTAAAAATAGCCTTCCCCAAGTGGAGCCAACTGGTGCCAAATGCAGAATGACAAAGGTGGGCTGTCTGTGTTTCTTGGCAAAATCCCTTCTATCCAGGCCACCAGAGGCTGATAAATAGTGATGTGGCTCTTGTTGGGCTGGCCAGGGATGAAGTAGAAGGCCTCATGTTTTCCAAATAGCCAGTGTGTGAAACATTCTTATTTTGCTTGACCAGCGTGTATTGGAGTGGGGAATTTGGGCTATTGTGACTTCCCTTTCGTGAAGGAGGATGGTGAGATTTTCTCTTCTGCAGTTGACTGATCTTGCACTGGTGATGAGATATTCTGCTAAGTGCTGTGTCAGCCTCCTATCCCATCTCTCTTAAACAAACCCTTTGATTGGGATAGATGTGATTTCTGGAAGATGGAAACTGGAGATGATCTAGAGATGTGAGGACTGGAGGAAAGCATTGAAGAATCAAAAATACAGCTAGGTGCTGG